GTAAAAATGCTGTTTTATGCTACTGGGATTAACACTTATCATGTGTATGTATAATCTCCAGTGACATTTGCGTCGGTGGCACAGTGGTTAGGACTCTCGCCGACCATCCACATGGTCCGGGGTTCGAGCCCACACCGGCGCACACCTGATATCTATGGTTGGCCTGCAAAATTGGGGCTACCGATATCCATGCTGAAAATTCCATACTTGTACCAAAAATACAGTGTGGAATCAAGCTGTAAATCAAAAAGTAAAAGAAAAAAAGAAAATCTTGCTACCGCCTGTAAATTGTGATGGAATTTTATGGTTCTATTTCTGTAACAATTTGATGATGCCTGTTAACTGGCGTCCCTCATGTACTTCACTGTGAGAATACATTTATTTATTTATGTTTGTTTATATGAAGACCAACTAAGAAGAACCCATCTTTGTGTATATAGCTGCCAAATTCTCGACGAAGGTATAGTGTCAGAACAAAACATTCTCAGCCTTCACAGACTTTTAGAGGGAGAGTGGCCATCCCCCACCAAATGGCTTAATTTTTTCGTTCAGACAGAAAGGTCAAGCTGTCAGGGACCAATTGTCCTTTTAATCAATCACAAATTAGCATACAAAGAAAATGACCCCAACCACTAAGTGGCTGACCAAAAAGAACGTAGCCTGATAACGAAACTGACTAAACAGAAATTTACTTTAGGTTGAATTTGTCATTGAGAAGAAAATATCTGGTTTAATTATGCTCATAATATTGATACTAGAGATTGGAGGGTGATTCAACTGTTCGAGGCCATTTATCCCGTCGCGAGCTGTCATGGACACACGCGCGTGGCTTGAAAAGATTAAAGCTGCCAAGGCCACTTTATTGATTGAAGATGGTCGGTTGAATGTATTTTTCTGAATCAAGCTGCTACGCCTAGTATTTTATTCCATGCTTCTTAACAAACGTGTCTATATATCTGGGATATGAGTGTTAGATTATACATGATGCACTTGTAGGGCTGTATAACAATTGCTTGCTAGCTAGTGAGTAATTTTGAGGGGAAAACAACGATGCTTTGGAGCGCTTTCGCGAAATATCTGATATTTAGTTCGTTTTGCTGTGATATGAGACTTGATATGTGATAAGCTGTTTTCATTTGTTCAGGAGTGTGCCATTAAGGGGCTTCTTTTCTCACGAAAGGAAACGACATGTTGATTGATAACAAGAATGGATTAGGCTAAGTCTGAATTCATGATTAGCTGTGGTAACTGCCATTCTACATAAGATGATTAGGGTGGTAGGCAAGTCGCGTTATTTCACTACTTGAATCTCGTTTTAGCTGCCTAGACGGTATGACTGATAGGAGCTCATGTATTTCTGTAGTGTCCGATTCGTCGATAATGCTCTCACAGGTTACCTTCGCATACCTGTTGGTTGAGTCCTAGATTTGTCATCTTGGTTTTTATTTTTATTGTACTTAAGTACAGAAGTCTGTGATGACCAACTACAAACTTGTAGTTGGTCATCACAGACTTCTCAGAGTACCACGATGAATAAAGATATCTCGGTCAAATGTTTCTACAACGAACTTCCTCAAACCGATTTTGTCTTACTATTAAGTGGTTATAGGTACCTTGAGGATTATGTTTACAGAAGAAATCTAACTATTATGGATGTACCTAGCAACCTAGAAGCATGAGTGCAAACATTTAGCCTCAATACTTATAACCAAAGTTCTTGAGGTGGAATGTACGCTTGTCTTCGACACCAATGAATTTGACATTTCTGAAAAGAAAAGGGAGCGTGTGGTTTATGGACACTTCCGATGTTGACATAGTGTTAATCGATCCCTGAAAAAGAGCGCAACTCGATAAACTTGTATGTTCTATCGATTTTCGAGTGTCGACTTTTGTGAAATAATGCGAATTCTGAGACTAGTTCACTACAGGCTTGGGAAAGTGTTAAGTAATCTGGATTGAATGAGTCGTTTTTGCTAACATTCTGTAACCTATGGTGAAGCGAGTAGTGAGAGCACTCTGAGACTGCCGTATCTCTGTTCGGATAGCCTTCAGATGCGTATGTCCTGTATATTAGTCCCAATAGACTATGTATGTTTTCAGTCCTTTCTTGTTTAATTGGATCTCAAGAGATAATCGTAACGGTCAGCATAATCCATTGGGTTATTGCGATATGTAAAGCAGGCTGTATCTACCCAGGTTTTATACTTCAAGGGAGTTATACTGCAAGGAAACTAACGTTTAATTCCGAATGCTAGATATATCTTCATTGCTTGATGCATTTATTTAAAACTAAACCATAAGTTATAGATTACATTATTACAACCTCTAGGGAGGCGGAAGATCCACTTCTTGTTTCCCGAAGGAGCAGAAATGGTTGAAGAGTACGACATATCCAACGATAACCTGCTAGGTAAGTGTTGTTGTATTTTAATTTTCAAACTCAACAAGCTAGGAGATGGAGAAGGAAAACTGTACTTGGTGGCGATGGATCTTGGGAGATTGAAGTTGGGGAGCCGACGACGAGTAGAAATCAATTTTCGGATTGTATAGTGGAGTCTTCTCAAACTGTATTCTGAGATTCTATTACCTGAGTTACAAAAAGCCCTTGTTTAGTCGCAGCGATGTTGCCAATTCATTTCAGTGGCGAGTACGTAATTTGCCTTATCCATTGGACGTGTACAAAATTAACATTGAAGATGAGGCGATCGTTCTAAGGACGACTAATAAGAAGTAGCTTTTACTGTTAGATTTGACTAAAATTCCAATTTAGATATTACAAGAAGTTCACCATACCGGATATGATGCGAATGGGCTTGCCACTAGACGAGAAGTCTATTACACTAAGTCATGCAAACAACACCCTCATTATTTCGGTTTGTTGAAAGTTTAGATTAAATATCTCATTTTAGTATAAAAAACCTGATAAAGTACTGGAGAATGAAAAGGCGTTAAGACAATATGTAAAAACATTGAAACCGGTGGAACAAAATGACGACTGTAAGACATCCTAGTCAATCGTCATGAATTTATTTAACACTTACTGTTTTCTGTAACATTACTTGGTTTTGTAAATCTAATTTTTGTATCTGTTACTTGAATTAATACTTCATCTCAAAAATCGATAATTCCATTCTACCAGTACCTACCGTCGAATTCCGAAATAAGGTTGGTTAATATGTGGATTAAATTTCATCTACTACATAAGTGTAGGACCATCCACTACTATAAGATGAGTTAACACAAAAGCGCTTATTAATTCTTTATAGTGATACAGGTAGAACTCACTTCGGATTCATACCGCAGTCACATGGTAGCTCACGTATTGTGTGGTCTAAATTCCTTTTCGAAGATAAAAATCGTGAAACAGCGGATACTGATGCAAATGCTACATATGACTAACTTAAACTAATTTAAAACTGGAGATTTCTCCACAATATATCCACCATACAGCATCAGGAGCTTGTTAAGGTATTGTGATTTTAGAGTGCATGTAAATATTTAGAACATGGTGGGCGGTATCAGGTTAGCCAGCGGAAATAATCCTTGGTTAGTTTTAGGAGAGTTCGACACCGACATTCGATAGGAAAAGTACCAATCTACTCAGCACTATAGGTAATCATAAGAAATCGGGAGATGATAAGTTTTTGCTTCTCCCTCGCGTTGAGTAAATCAATACCGTAAGATTGGATTACTACCTGATCTATTGACACACACACACACTGGGAGATTCCTAGGCATAGACGTAGGAAAAGCAGTCTTTGTTCCTCATTGTGATTTCCGTTTAAGTCCGAAGGATTTAGTCAGCTGAGTCTTTTCCGCATATTTCGTTTGATGCTCCTTAGAAGAAAGACTAGGGAATTTATGGTCAGTGGGTTTTTACTTATACTGTGTTTTCTATCAAATCGACTATGAAAAGTCTTTCTACGGTGTTGGCCGCAGCGTGATTTGGAAACTTCAGAGTTAGGGAGTACCCCAAAATTTATCAACCTCACTCATGACTATATGCTGATTGCACATTCCAAGTGATATACAACGGGATATTCAGCTAGGCCTTTGAAGTTAAGACAGGAATAAGGTAAGGCTGCCTACTATCACCAATGATGCTCCTGATTGTGGTGGACTGTAACGTATGGGGAGCGAGAAGACAGGGCTGACAAGAAAACTTCAGGAGATTCGGACAATTTGTGTCTAATGTTACACAAACTTCAAGACCTGCAGACAGAAGAAGCAGTGAATACAGAATTCCAAGTGAACATAATTTAGACGGAGGTGATGGAGATACCTAACCAACAACGACAAGTCAGCGTATAAATCCATTGCACTAGGCATAAAGAAGATTAGGATTTTCAACATTAATGTCAACTAAAAGATATAACCACAAACTTGCAGTCACCCGACTACATAATGGGTACAGTGGTTTGGTCTTTTCACAGTTTAAGGCAGGAGTAACAACAAAGATTACTTTTTATTCACCCAGTTATGTTTCTTGAAAAAGGCATTATTTGAGTGTGAATTTATTCCAGTATATAACGTGCAACTTAATCATGTTGAAACCATAATGTTGGCAATAACTTGTAAGCTACATAACTTAATCCTATTATATTAAAAGGCATTTAGCATTTTACGTTTGGCTACATTAGGAATCTTGGATAAAAGCTTTCGACGACTATATTTTTATGTTAAATCTGAAGGTATATTACCGTTCAGCGTGGTTCTACTACATTCTCTCTTCTCTACTTTTGCATACAATGTCCGTAGTGTTACTGTTAGAAATGCTAGCGTTTTATACAGAGTTCAGCAATAAGTCAGTAAGAAAAATGTAGTAAAAATCTAGAATTTCAAAATACTAGATAAGATAAAATGTTAGTTTTAGAACTATTGTGAACGTTAGACGAAACAAGTAACTTACGACAACTGAAATTTTAGTTTCATGTGTTACAGATCGCACTCTATTTTGATAACCTCACACTTTATTACAACGTAATTCGACCCCCGCAAGTAAAATACATCTTGTGTGCTTGCAACAGAGATGGATTTTTTTCCAGGACTACATATACCGTTACCAAAGACAGCTTTCCTTTCTTCCGGAAGACTCACTACAAATGACTGACCCGTCTAATGAATTAGTATGCCAGATAATAAAATACCATAAGGTACCTGTCCCAGAGAACTCACTGCTGATTGATCTTACAGACAACACTCCATGATACCTAAAAAATTGTTTAGGAAAGCTGTCTGAGACAGATACTCTGCAAGTAATTTTATGAAACAACTGGACATGGTAATTTCCTGTGGGGATTTTCCTAAGATATCTCGAAACACTTCTCTCAATAACCTTCTTGCTTACTATAAGCGTATTGTTTCCCCTTTTTGCCTCTAAAACTGATTTAAAGTTACGGGCAGTCAGGCCACGATGTTGATGCGTAAATATAAGAGCTCTCTGTTGCTAGTAGCTTTTCATGGACTACGATCCCACCTACAGAGTAGGTGAAACGATGTGACTGGATACCTATCATCCTGCAGCTCATTTTCTGCATCTGCTTTAGAAAATATAAGAAAATTGACTAGCACTTTGTTGGATATGCTTCTCAGCCCACTTGTCTATTTCGTAACCGTATCCAGTTTTTGTTTTTAAAGTTTTCAAGAAAGAACGAAACAGAAAAGGATGAAGTTACAGTTAGATACTAATAAAAAGTTTTTAAGGATATGACTTAAGCAAATGTTTATTGAAGATGGTATCAGAAAAACAAAGGAGTAAGCTGAAAGTTATTTGCGTCGTATTTAAAATACTTATTGCTTTCTGAATATCCTCCAATAGGCACATTTACATGATAAAAAAGAACAATCGATCACACCAGCCAACAAGAAATCATGGTTATCAAATTATGTACCTGTTTTAAAACCTATAATAGGTGTGAGAAATAACATTGAACTAAAGCAATAAAATAAAAATTAGGTGAGTAAGTAGTGAATATCCGTGTGAGAAATGTCTGATCTCAGGCAGAAGATAAATGAACAAACATGCAATTAAATACATACTAGTTGAATTATACCCATAAAATTATATGACGCAGATCATCAAGCGTCATTCGCCTCACAGTTAAATGTCTGTGTCTGAAAACGGAATGAATCATTGCCAACCGTGTAAATTACGAACTGAAAGTATAAGCAATCGATGTTTCGTATAACGAGTGGTAGGAAGACAGTGGATTTAGCGCTTTGTGACGTTGACACCAATCTGGCTAGAATTTTGAGAAACTACCGTATAAGAATTATTGTTAAGAGAAGGATACGTTTTTGATTCAATATTTGAATTGATTGGCGCATCACCTGAACCAGATAACCGGAGCTGTTCCAACTTCTTCCAAAGTTCTTCGCGTTCTTTTTCACGTTTACGTTCCCTAAAAAAGGAAAAAACGAATGTGAAGCTTAGTGTTAATGCCTACTATACGTCACGCTTGATATCTGGGGATTCATATCGTATTTAGAAAGTAATAATCCCGTGAGACATGGGGAACTTGGCAATACTACAGACAGCCAGGTTCCCAATTTTATATTTTTGTTTCGAAGGATAGAAGTTATATGGCGGAATGTCAAGTTGAAATGCACGATAGTATCATTTTACTTAGCTTAGTGACACTACATGTCTGATACATTTGGAGCTAGATCTCTACATCTATTAACATCTGGTGATCCAGAACAGCATTGCCATTGAAGGCCAACAGCAAGGATACCTGAGAAGACCGTGTTTAAATGCATAGATGTGGTTTTACACATCCTATTCTTGATCACGATTATTATGATGAAATTTTATACAACTAAGAGAGCATCACTATATACCCGCAGCAATTATGAGTAATAGAGTTTCTCACCACTATTCAAATGAACTGTGTTTCGAGTGCTCAGTTAGGAAAAAAAGCATTTTTATGACATAATAATAGGTGCTTCAACATGTAGTGAAACGAAATACTGGTGTGAAATTTATTTTTACAAAGACTAAAATACAAATACACATAAATTTCTTCATTCATACCTAATGTAATATTATAGCGCAGGGGCCAATTATAGTGTTAAAGAGATATTAGAATGGTCAGCAGTAATGCAAAAATCCTCTGAGAAACTAATTAAGGGAGTGGTGAACTTACTAACAACACCGAACAGTTAAGACAAATGGAATTAATAACCAAAATATTAAGGATGCCTGGTGTAGTCACCTTTATTTAGTATTATTACAGATAAACTAACACGTGATTTAGCGAAAAAACTCCTTTCGGTGAATACATTCACTTAGCTGTACAATCATAGTCATATAAAAATATTTTTGTATGTATGTATATAGACATTCAGTCTGCCAAAAACATTGCTAAAAAGGTAAAAATAAATTACCTTGGAATATTGTTTACATCACCAATATATTTAGTAGAAGCAGGGAATATTAATCATATTGTAACTAAAAGTGTGAAGATCAGTAGTGTTGAATCTGTGTTCAATTGTAGCACTCTATATTGACTTATATGAAAAGCTCTGATTTATGCACGCAAGAGAAAGTTTTCTACCCGATCCTTCTCCCTTGGACATCATTCTAAGCTCAACAGTTATCAATGTTTTCTTTCTTTCGCATTTCTGGTATTTTAGCTGTTAGCATCACTTCCGTAACTAACCTTTGTGCACACTGTTCACCCGTTACGTAATATATTTCGACCCTTGTCTGAACACTTTTCCTGTCAACACCCAATTTTTTGTATTAGGCTACCTTCTGTCCAACATTACTGATCTCTATACTTTTAGTTACAATATGATTAAGATTCCCTACTTATAAATATTTTGATGATGTAAACAATATTCCGAGATAATTTTATTTTTTTACCGATGTTTGGCAGACTGAGTGTACACATATACATACAAAAATACGTTTACATGAATGTGATTGTAGAGCTAAGTGAATGTATTCACGGAAAGTGGTCTTTTCGTTGAAGAGCTAGACCTTATTTCCATGTCTATATGGGTATTTTTCGGGTACTAACTCATCTCAGTCACACGATTTAATTAAAATACATTTACATATAGGCTACGGCGACCTGCAAGTCAATTACAGTTACAAATTCAAAAGCATAAGTCATTTCCTTGGGGGGTTCAAATATAATATTCTGCTAAAATCATATCTTAGAGTATTTTAAGAGGAAATCCACAGTTTACATATTTCTTACCTTTGACGTTCAACTTTGTGTTTTTCAGCCAACTGATTGCACAATGTGGAATTCATTTCCATGAAGATTTTCAGCACATTTCCGACTAAAGCTACTATAGTTTGGTTCCAGTGTTCACGTGAAATACGATAAAATGAAGGGAACAATATAGGTATTAGAGTGTCATGATTTTCTTCAATAAGGGATACTATGTTATCATTGTTCCAATAGCTTAGTGCTCGTTCAGCTACCTGTAAAAACAAATGAAAACAAAAGATTTGGGAAACACTATATCCATAATCACTGTGGTGAACACGAAAGTTAAACTGCCTTGAAGAAAGACAGACTCATTATAACTTTTCAGGAAACAAAACTGAAGTATTTTTTGACATGAAAATTCGACTGTTACACTACAACTCTACAAATACCTAACACACAGTATGAACATGAACAAGGAAGAAACACCGTATTATACTGCTACAAATGATATCAGAAAGTCTTTCGCAAACTTGAAAAATGATAAACAATAGAACTTACTTCTGAACGTTTTCAAATACTAAGGGATTGTCAGCTGATTAGCTGAAAAAACAAACGTAGAGCTTTTTATAAACGTTCGAAGTGCCCCACTTTAAAGAAATTAGAAAAGAAGGAGAAGATAGCTGACTTAAGGCATTCTAGCTCAAAACAATAGACCGGTTATCTATTACAACTAACGTAGTCTCCATAAGCTAGCAAAAAATGAAGAAATCAACCGACGATATTTTGATTCCCGTTAGGTTTTACAATGCAGACAAACTCACAAGCGTCAGGAACTTGAAACCAGTCTTTATTTGGAAGCCGAAGTTGACTATATGGACTGACAGCATCACAAGATATGCTAAGGTAACTGCAAGAGGCATCAAAATAAGAAAGCCAAACAAGAAAACTACTTTCAAAAGTGTGCAATGTATCTTTGTCTGCAGAGTAGGAGCAGCAAGAAAACAGAATAAAGCATCTAACTATCTTATAAGTAGATTGATAAAACATGTTTTGCTATTTCATAATAAATAAAACTAACAATTATTACGAGTCTCGAAATGCCTTAAAGGTTGATCAAGTTTTCAGAAGGCAACAGAGTAGGTCAGACATTCAAAACGCAATGAAAATTAAATTTATTCAACAGGACTGAAAATACCTGGAAATTTCTTTGATTCTTTGACCTTTTTAATGCGCAACAGTACTGAAGAAGCAGTTATGAATAAATACGACGACAGAATTCTAGATAAGAATACTGAATGATATAAGTAAAATGACTCAGGTTGTCTGATACTGGTTGAAACCTTGGTCTAAGGGAAGATATCACTAATATGCTCTGGAATAGGCTGTGTACGTTCGATCCAACTTTTCCACTACAGATGGTTTAAAGCTCTGTTATCGAGATAACATTTTGCATATACCCCACTATAAGAGATGTACGTTATACGAGGACTGATGACAGTAACTAATCGCTCAGGGTGAAACAGGTATGGTTGGACTCGAACACGGGACTTATTGCCTGAAAGTCAAATCTTTGAGTTAGTAAGCCATATTTTCACTACTGAACGAACTAACTGACTGGTTTCAAAACAGAACTTTGCACAGAAGCGCGGTAGTATAAGTTGCCACATTCCACATGGTATATAAAAGATGACAGGAGAAAAACAAGATTCAAAAGAACGGTAATCAGGAGGAAAGGTGAGAGATGAAGGAAAGTAACGTGGGAAAACAATAAGGTTTAATGGATATTGCAGATTACAACAGAGTGAATGCAGCTGAGACACTAAGAACAGTTTTGACCGATATCACCAACTGTACTCAGTCATTGGTTCTTAGCATCCCCAGGATCCCAATCAGGAAGTCCACACCTCCCTACGTGGATCAAACTAATTGCCAAAGATTTTACGGACTGATTCTAAGTTTTGGGTTGACAACGACTAGCTCTTCCAACCTGATCCCACGTATAAAACTAAAAAGGACATAGGGCTCCGTTCTATCAGTACATTTTCAATAAAAACATTGGTGAAGTCATCGTGACTATCAAAATCTGTTGAATCCCGTATAACCTTTTTACATATAAAATTAAATTTAAACGTATAGGCGACTGGAGCACTCAACAATCACATGTCTGTATGATGACAGCATTTGTTTACTGTGAATTCAGATGTAAGATGGGATGGTGGGAAAATTAATGTCTATTAATCAAAATACTCCGAGCGATGCTGGGGACATCACTCGTACCCAATTCCCATGAAACTTCATGGTTCATGAAGCCGGCTCATCCTCCCGTAGGAGATAGCCGAAGTAAAGTAAAGTAAAGTAATCAAAATACTGACGACATAATAATAATAGGCTACGGAATGTTGAGTGTGTTCAAAATGTTGGTCACTGAACAAAGCCGTATGATATGTGTGGCAAACAAAAGTTGGATTACTGGTATGTGTTTCAGCGAGACTGCTGCACTAAAATATAATCGGTATTCAAAAAAGTCCGTTGTTTCCACTTATTACTTGTTTAATTTCAAACAATATTCTTAATCACAGTTTATTAACTGAATGACCATACTGAATAAAAATGAAACAATAAGATTTGCAAGACATGCAAAAGTTTCAAAAGGTCCTATTAATCTTTAGTGCTCTTCAATAATAGTTAATCCTGCATTTTCTGAGAAGTGTTCAGACAATATATATTCAGTACTCGCCATACATTGGTCACCTTTACATACTTGTTGTGCGAAGAATTTCTGTGATCCCGTGTTTCTAACTCACCGTCACTTATTTGTCTTCCAATAAAGATGCCATTCACATAACGTTACAACTTCGTTTTCGACAACGCTTAATAAACTTATTGCCATGGTAAAATGTTAAGGGAATTTGTTTGTATAAAGAGTATGTACATAATTCAGTGGGAGGGTGGAACATTTGATTAAGTTGCTATATCAACGATTTACCTGAAAGACAAAAAATTTCGTCACTGTATTTTTCAGTGTAACAGGTTGAAAACCGGCTGATACGTGGTAGCAAAAGAACTCACAGAATACTATACGAAACTAAATGACTACCGAAAAAGTCAGAGCACAATTGCATTGAAACACAAACATCATAAGACAAGAAGAAAGAACTTATGACAACAGGAAATACCAACACTTAAGTGTGACGAATGACAAAAACATTATAATTGCTAAATAAGACAAGGATAATTTAACTGTGCTGGTTACGGATAGATCACATTATATCAACAAGGTCAATGAACGTATTAAAACATGTCCATATGAGATTAGAAAACCTTTAGACACGATTATAAGATCAAAAAAATCTACAGTTGATCTAGTACGCCGAATGAAGTCATTTTTGAGTGACTCAAAATGGCTTAATCTAATGTTTGGAACTAATAATCCTAGTAGTAGAAACTCATAGAGCAGGACACTCGAATAGGCAAATAGTTGACTTTAGGAACATCCCGGTATATGAGTTATCTAAGTATTTAGCATCAACATTGTGTCTTATCAGTGATCGGCCATATTCTGGGCTAACTAATTTATAAGTAATGAAACGGAGGCTAGAGGAAATTCAAATAGAATAATATGAAAAAACGATTAGTATTAACGTAACCAGTTTGTGCGCTCAATATCAGAATTATTGTAGCTCTTGTGGCAGTTAGAAATGAACTGGACATTGATCCTGAATTCGAGCAATAGGACTAAGCTCTCGGTCAAAGAAATAATATTAAATGTTTAGCTATTTCTAGCCTACACTGTATTCGAATTTCAAAGTAAAATATACAAACAAACAAATAGGGTGGTAATAGGATTGCCAATTTCCCAAAAATTACCAGACAAATTCATGAATATTTGGAAACGTAGAGGCTCTTAGAATGTTACAGTGAAGATATGTAGATGATACATTCACTGTGTTGAAATCTGAATACATCCCTAAGTTCTTCACACACAGCCAGTAGTAGATGCAATGCAATTCAGTTGTGAGTTAAGAAATGATCAAGGTGAGTTGGCTATGCTAGACAGTTGAATAAAACAAAATCAAAATAGTGGATTACATACCAGCATCTACAGAAGACCAACAAACACCCAAAATCGGTAAAGGTAAGCCTAGTTAAATGTTTATGTAATGGAGGCAGAAGCCTAACTAGAAAGACAAGATTTAAACAATGAAATCAAAAAATAAGGAGAACTCTGTTAGTGAATAACTATCCTCCAGAATATATTCAGAGATGTATGAAGACCTAGAAGAAGAATGACAGTAACCACAAAAATAATATTGAAAGCCTCGATAGTGCTGCCATATAAATAAGGAACATAACAGGCCCTATGTAGGATTCTTAATAAAGCTGGAATTGTGGTGGCATTTAAACCAGCCAACCAAATTAGACTAATTTTGTTGGCTTAGAGACCAAAATGGTCCAATCAGGAAAAATAATATACTTTATAAGACACCGTATAATGACTGAGGTCAATTACATAAGCCAAACTAGTAAGATCGGTGTCAATTGGATTATCGAAACAGAAATTTAGCTGGAGCTGGAATGATTGATCTTGCTAGGTTAAGTAATCTAGAAAAATGCTCAGTCATCGCAATGCATTCACTTGCATATGATCATACGATAAGGTGGGATATTGCAAAAAAAACCACTAAATAGTGATATACTTAGATGTAAAGAGGTTAATCACCGAATCTTTGTTCGTCGAATCAATACCAAACACTTGTAATCGAAATGACGCAACGAATATATCGGACATCTGGAAGATTGTGATAAACAAGAGGGAGATAAAACATATATCAAGCAAAATATGAAGCCGTGTGAATGCATTGATAGGATTATGAGCAATAAACTGTGCTCGAAACATCGTCCAGTTATTACTACTGTTGTGTTATGTCAAATAAATTTAGTCATATTCGACTACAGTGCCCAAATTGTACTCACAGATTGCTGATGAATTCATCCAAAACTACATGTAATACAAGAATAAAAAGGGAAACAAAACTAGGCTTGATATAAATATCCAGTATATACATAAATATGGTAGGACAATTTGGAAGTAATTTGAAACATACTGTTAGCAAAGAGGGAAACTCTGAAACCTTCTGTATGTCTGTCTGTCTGTTTTCGACATAGAACTTTGCACAAATGTGCGGAAGTTCAAGTCGCCACATTCCGTGTAGCACGCGAAGCAAGAGAAGAAAGTACAAGAAAAGCATAATAGAAACAGTGAGCAGAGGTGTGAGACAAAGGAGTAATAAAGAAAAACAAAACAGTTTCATTGGAGATCATAAGTCACAGGAGTGGATGCATCTGCGCCACTGAGAACGATTTTGAGCCATGTCACCAATTGTTTCCAACCATAGATTTTTACCGTCCCGAGGACCCCAGCCTGGAAGTCTACACCTTTCTACGTGGCTTAGACCAACTGTTGTGGATTTCATTGACTGATGCCAAGTTTTTGTTTGACCGCCGCTAGCTTTTTTCCAGCCTGACCCTATATCCGCTAACATTGCTCGTCGAGGGAGGCGATGGCTTGGCATACGTAACACATGTCCTAACCATCTCAGTCTTTGTAGCTTCACGACTTCGTCGATTGATTTCCCCTGTTTACCTAGAACTCTACGCCTAACCTCCATGTTGCTCACCTTATTATGCCACTTTACACGGGAAATAGAACGCAGGCACCTATGATCAAAGACAGCTAGTCTTTTCATGTCTTCCACTCTCAGTGGCCAGGTCTCACAACCATAAAGGAGGACGGAGCGGACTGATGAGCAGTACACCCGCCCTTTGGTCGATAGTCGAACATCTCGTCTACGCCAGAGTCGGCGTAAACTGGCAAATGCGAAACGAGCCCCCTGTATTCGTGCTGAGATTTCGTCAGAGATCAGCCCGTTGGGGCTGATGGTACTTCCCAAATAAGTGAAGCGGTCAACGTGCTCTACCACTTCACTTCCTATTTTTAAACTAGGCGTCGATGTAGTCCAGTCCTGTAACATCATCTTGCATTTGGCGGGAGCGAATCGCATGCCAAACATTCGTAGATTGCGGCTCAAGGTGTTTAGAAGACTCTGCATTTCGTCAGCGTCTTCGCCTAGAAGGACTATATCGTCTGCATATTCCAAGTCAACGAGATTATTCCCGGTAGCAAGTCAATCCCTGAGTCGCTGAAGTCACCTAGGGTTAAGTCCATTAACACATCTATGATGAAGTTGAATAGAAAAGGAGATAATGGGCATCCTTGACGGACACCACTGGTCGTCATCAGTTCAGATGACAGCTCGCCGTAAGCCCTCACCTGGCTGTATGAGTACGAGTAGAGTGCCTTAATCAGTGCAATATATTTTCTTGGAATTCCCTTTACAGCCAAGCATCTCCAGAGAACTTCCCGATCGACAGAGTCGAATGCTGCCTTTAGGTCAAGAAATATAATGACTGTTGGACGCCGGTAGGAATTCCTATGTTCTAGAATCTGTCGGAGGGTGAAGATATGATCAATACACCCTCTTCCTGGTCTAAAGCCTGCCTGGCTCTCTCGTGTTTGTGCTTCCCGAGCACCACTCAGTCTACGCATGATTATTGAGCCTAAGACTTTAGATACTATATTAGTCAAGCTAATCCCTCTGTGATTATCACAGGAAGACTTGTCTCCCTTCTTGTATATGGGGATAATCAGTGACTTACACCAACCCGATGGGACTTCTTCTGATTCCCAGACGCTGCCTAGTACCTCAGTTAATCCGGACAGTAAGCTGTCTCCACCGTACTTAAATACCTCTGGAGTCATTCCATCAGGTCCCGCTGCTTTGCCTAGTTTCAGATTGGTGACAGCTTTAGTAACCTCAGTTAGTGACGGAGGACCTGTGTTTATATCCCATTCAGGGAGGTGTTGGATGCTCGGAAGGTTGAGCGTGGCTGTGGGCAAATTAAACTGCTCCTCATAATGCTCTTTCCAACGATCCAGTCGTCTATCCTGGGAGCTAATTATAGTGCCTTCTGTATCATCATTAACAGGACAGGAATGAAAGTTGTATCTAAATCTACAAACATATTTAAAATAGAATGTCAGCTAAACGATCTGGTGAGTCCATCAAACAAAATAATTCGGTCTATATGATACTACTTAATGACTATGTGGTCTATTACACAGGTCACAGTAGTAGGCTAAGGACAACTAGATTGCCGGGGCACAAAATCATAGAGCAATCTAGACTTGTAAATCCTAACAAGGTAACATATCCAGGAGACATCTGAGCTGAATTAATGCATAGTTGCATATAAACATAGAATAAAACGGAACAACGTGATTCCTACAATTTAACAGAGAACGGTAAATGAATAAATTATTTAATTGCAAACCATCACAATGTTCAAGTTCTACACAAACTATTACTACAAGAATGACAGTAAAACTGCTCCAATGCCTAAATCATCAAGTAGACCAAGTGTTAAATTTAGGCCTATTGCCCTTACCTGACATTTTTTAAACACAGTGGAAAAACTGCTTTCGCCTAACACCTGTACCTTCCTTGAAGGCGTTTAATGACCCTTAGCAATTCGTTTATAAACATAGTAGGTGTACTTTAGATGCCACTGTCATCTTATAACATAATATTTTCCTCAGTTTGGACAGAGGTGCCAAATGTTTTGTGTACCTTTGACTCCGTACTTAGGCCTCTTTTGTTAAACAAGCTTGCTGCGACACAAGCACAGTGCTAGATTACCAAGTGGCTGCATTCCTATTTTTCTGATAGGAATCAGTACAGTGTTTACAATAGAAAGTCCTCCACTGCTTCACTACTGTAGCTGGTGTTCCTCAAGCTGTTCTTTCTTCTTCTCTGTCTTCCTTTTCCTTACACGACTTGCCCCATTCTGACAAATCCAATATTGTTAAGTATGCCGATGATCTGACCGTTTCTACGCCCTCCCCCCTTCCTTCTCAGTCAGACTATTTCAAAATGAATAACTTTTTAGCAGAAATTAATCATTAATCATCATCAAATGGTGTTGAGCTTAATCCCTCCAAATGTCAGGTTGTTAATTTCACTTCCAGATAGAATGGCAACTTACATGGTTTGCATGATTCCACCATCATACAGGACACTGAAGTCAAAACAAAATACCCTGGGTGTGCATTTCCTCTGATCTTTACTTGCCTTTCCCAAATCATGCCAGCTTCTGGAACGACATTTCGCTCAATGTCTTCTGTAAGTTAGAACGATCTCACATCACTCATTCTCTACTTTCTAAGTCTGTTAATTTTTGTATCCTACCGATTTCCCTTCACTACTTTCCTTTAATCTTCCGGGGCTACTTAAGACAGACTCTGTTATACAGTGTAGGGTACTAAGAGCTGTCAGTAGGGTGTGAAGTGCCACTAAAGCAACTTGTGATTACTATTGTAGGTAGACACATGGACTCATGCAAGAAATCAGAGATTGCCTTGTCAAACCCTGAAAATCCTGTCTATGCACACCCCTCTCCTTGCATCTCATCAATTAAAACTAAAAGCAACTATGCTCGGTCGACTACGTATAAAAGCTCTCATTACCTTATTAGGCACACATTTTAGGTGATGAGAAAAGTGTGAAACAGGACACTACCAACTTACTGAAAAACACTCAGTGAACGGCATTCTTTTTTTCTCACTATTATATTGTTGTTAATATTTTCACTCAATCTAATTTTATATCTATATACTTATTGAACAATATTATCAATGTAAATGCCCTGATTTAATTATTATCCCTGTAATAAGAGAATTAGATACAATACTGCACTACATGCTGAAAATTACATTTTTGTACCCAAAATACTGTTTATTATTATATCAGTCTCACGCATAGTCTTGTTTCAAAACAAATAATTAGGTCAATTTTATAGAATTTTAAAACATTTATCTTGCATTTTCTATAACGGAAATAACTAGTCCTAACCAGTAAAGATGCGCGGCAATACATGTATTTCGACTCAGAATGATACATTGCCAAACAGAAAATCCAGGATTAAAAGTTGTCACGCATGAACTACAAAATAAATCTTACTTGGAAATGGGAGCTTGAAACAGACTTTGCTATCTGCTTGAATAGTGGGACCATTATTACTTGAAACTGCAAAGGCTCGATTACTTCTAGGATTTCTTCAATTTCTCCCAAGAACATAACTTCCTTTTGAGAATATGTTTTTGGCCAAAATTTCAACAATCCACGCACAACCTGCTCTGTCAACGTTGCATCCTTATCTAGAAACTGAACTATGCAGTAAGCAAGCTAAAAAAAGAGGTAGGAGACGAAACTTGTCAATAAAATAAATAAAGTTATTAACCACAAAACGTCAAAGGGAGTTTTTACAAACTCAAAAACTACCTTGAGTTCTTGAAGGGATTGAGTGGAATAGGGCTCCACGACAATATAACGATAACTACATAGGATTACGGATGCTTTCGAAACCAAATTATCTTTGCTTATCAAAGTATACTGAATTTTCTCAACATAATCATTATTCTTACAAAACTCTTCAAGATTTCTTAGTAATACATTTCAAAGATGTCATTGCAACTATCAAAATCGTATTTCTATTTAAATCTTCAGATAACATAAATTTAAGCAACAACCATCCTAGCCATTTTACTTTCTAGAAAATCAATTATTATGTCCAAAGTTCGTTTGTGGGCATATGGGTGTAACATGAGTAGACCTTTTACGTATACTACCATTTACCATTAAGTGTAACAATACTGCTGACTTGTCTTTTGATTTCTGCAAATACAACCTAGCAGCATTTTAGTAGCTACAAAACAAACCATAGAAATATAGTGACAAATCTTCCGGAATGAATGAAGCTTTAGCGTGTAAGCCACCTTTAGAAACACTATATAACACTACGAATGACACGATAAAATAATTGTAAATGTAGGAAGAACCAAAGAAGTTACTTCAGTTATATCGTCGATGGACGGGTTTTTAAATGAACATTGTTAGTTAGTCAGATCGAATTCAATAACACAGAACAGGTCTATTAGTGACAAGCTGAAGAATGTTTACTACTTCAGTTGCACAGAGTGAAAGTCTAGCAAACCTGACCAACTGACTGAAGGTCGAGTGCTGAAGCCAATGAATCACATCCCCCGCTGAGTACAGCAGGACTTTCTCCTGTTAAATCCTTTACTGTTTTATTGACCCAAATGACTTGGTAAGGGAGGGAGTGCGCAGACTTCAGTCTTCCTCTCAAAATGCTTTCATGGGGTCACGGGTTCAGAGATTCTGCCAGATAAGTCCTATACACTACCTTCAAGTGGCGGTGTTTCTCACAGAAGTGACAGGGCGAATACGAACGCCTGGTACTTCCAACCCGACTGGTGGTTATCCATGACCTTCAAAGAGGATCTGGAAAACTCTGATTCCAAACCTGTAGCGTAGATGGGTTCCAGAATCCGGACAGATTGAATAGCATTTGAACCTGTTCTTGTCCCTAGAAACCAGAGGGATATAGCTCCTGACACTGCTCCAGTGCCCTGTTGATACAGATTCGAATCACAGGATAGGCGGTTGTCCCTTGAGATAACCACCTGTCTCGGTTTGGACGCCCGGGTAGTATCCCAGCCAAACATGTGAGGTATCTCTTGGTGGTCATATTGTACCAAGTTTGAGTCTTAAATTAAATAAAAGTCTCACTGTAACTACCACTTTGCACATAGGACACAACATAACGAAAGGAGACTCTTCGCTGAACTACATGTTTTGTTTTCATTAATGCTTAGATGGGGGTTATTCATGAATAAAACGTATAACAAGGGATCGCTGCCAACCATAAAGAACCAAATTTTAAAAATGCGACTACTCATTAGTAAGCAGAGTCAAATATATCAAATTCATTAAATGGCCTTTTTATATATTCGAATGGCATGAGTTCTGACCACTGGGACTATGCAACTACATGAGCTGATGCTACTTCCTACTCTATTCATTTCAAATTTCTCTGAACTTTCATTTCTTCTCTAGTGTCTTAGTAAATTAGTGAACAGGTTAACGCGTCCTATTATTTAATTACTTCATCCTATAATAAGAGACAATAAGCAACTAATCTACAATAATACACTGTAACTGACAGATGTCAAGCGTACGCCAGTGGCTTCCTATAAAAGGTCTATATAATCTTCGCACCTAAATACATCAACGGCTCTCAGGAAGCATATTTTCGGTGATTTGAAAATGTAGATACACTACCCTAAATTCATGTGGCATGGGTCTTCAATAAAATCCCTTAAACAGACCAGTGCACCTTTGATCTCAAATGACACTTAATTTCACTAACCTTATAATTCAAAATAACTACTTGGGGAACTACCAAAACTATAGAGCCCTTAGTTATCTTCAGTATGCCTTATTCAATTTTCCACCATATATGTACTGATTCCTTAAGTACCAATATTACGGGACAGCGACTCAGGCAATCACTGACCAGATAGTGGGTCACAGGCTTCAATCCAACTGAATCTAACGAGGCACAAGAGGCTAAATACCACTACTGTACAGTATGTGTAAGCTTTTGGATTTACATGCATGTGTCCGCCTTTCGGAAATTTCATATTCGTATACCGAATCACAGATTATTATTAAGTCTATTACTACCCAAAAAATATAATAAAATTTACAGCAACAAAGAATATTTCACAATACAATCACAACCAAAATAAAATCACTGATCAAGCCTGAAGTTAGTACTTTAGCAAATGTTGACAGAAATAAAAATGAACCCACACCAATTACCTGCGGATGAAAAGTTACTAAAGATTTAGCTTTATGAAGGGGTATCAGCACTTTGGCCAGAAAACGGGTGTGTTCAGATTTCAGCGGCAGGGCGAAACCGTTGATTATACTGCCAAGGATCTCAAGCAATTCTCCAACGCCGTTGAATTGTTCTGTTTCATAAATGAACCTATAGAAAGTAAGCATGACTTTCATCTCAATATTACCTCAAGAATATGTTGTTAATTTGTTTGCGTATGAAAGACCTCAATCCTAAAAATTTGCCATATATGCGATGGACTACAGTCTTCAGCAGCTCCCGTTCCCTGGGATCTTCGCTGTCGAACAGCTCCAACAGCTAATTCTTAAGTAGCTATATAAAAGAATTACCTGAAGTACGAACTTCTGGTCAATATATTTCTTCGCTGCAACAGGTTGGAAATCGGGTGACTCCAAGAAGCGTAAGAAGAACTCGTAAACATACTAAAGAAATATGCTTAAAGGTTACAAAATATTTACTGAAAGGTGAGGCCAAGCAGCTTCTAGAATAGGATCATCCTCTTCAGGATCGAAATCAGGATTATCAGACGGCGGCAAAGGCCGAAAAATATTGCAGGCAATCTAAATTAAAGCCTTATTAAGACAGAATTGCTAAGCAAACCATGGACACAATAGGTTGATAAACAGATTCATTTAATGCATTTCGAGTAACGCTTATATATTCCACCAGTTCACTCAAAAACGTGCGTTTGATCTCTTTGCTGCTCACGTCAGATGTAGAGTCTTCGAAATTAAAAACGACACAGCACTGCTGAAGTTTTTTAATAAAGAGCTCTTGATGTTCTGAAGGTGAAACATCTTTTTCAGTGAAATAAAAGATTATTACGCATGAGCTACCTTTGAATGCGGGCAAGCGTGTTAGTTCCGTTGGTGCCTTTGGCCGATAGTGTGATGATCCTTGAGAACGCTTTTGCTTTTTCCCTTTAAGTTCTGCCTTTGTCCGAAACGGATCTAGTTTCGGGACTTCTTTCGACATTTCGCAAAAGTTACGTAAAAACTTGAAAGGGCCGCTATATTTCAGCAGGCATTTTTAAGTGACATATCATCCGTTTGAGGTGTAACACACCACAACACTTGTATACCAGCAGATGGGGTTCGGAAAACAGCCCCTACCTGTAAAACACGAAAAAGAACACACTAACCAACCAACTAACTCGAAAGAGTGGAAATGAGGAAGAACACAAAGCTCGGGAAAGGAAGCAAGAGGATTTTATTATAACAAGAGATACATATTTCGGTGTGCAGGTTAAAGGCCTGAGTTCATAGTGAATTTCTGACACATCGTATGACGGTTAGTCTACTGCATTCATGTAGCCCATGCATAAAACATATGAGAAAGAAATATGTTCATATCGCAATTATAAATCCGCCTATATCTAACGTCAACTTAAATGGCCCTCCAAATATATTTTCCACGCTTTTCATGAACATGTAGAGGTTACTTTTACTGCAATTATTGTCTTTTTGACTTCCCAATAACTTTTAAATTAGAAGCAGTAGCCATTATGGTGTATATCACCTGAATTTTCGCAAATAATTTCTCCTTAAGCGAGTACGTACGGGACACCATATTTCCCACTTTTCTGAAGCTTTTGCTTTTCCGAGGAATGCAGGAACTCGTCGAATACTGCAACAGGGCAGTGCTTTATGTCTGGGAACCTTGTGTCACTGACCTACAGAATTTCTCTTTGGGGATTTTAAGCCCTCCCAATCCGCCTTTGGATTTCCGGCTACGAAGATACATAACAGTGTCTGAAAGCTTCGGTTATCTCCGAGCTGTTAAGAAGTTCATAACTAGGCGGCTAAAATAGTTGCGAACCCCAAGGCAGTAGAGGATTTATGAGTAACGCATTGATGTGCAATTGCGTAGTACGGCCGAAATACATCTGATTGTCTGACAATTTAGGCATTATCAATGCTTCAATTCGTAAGACGCAATCGTGTACTGAGGTCTGATTCGTTCCCCGAAAAATTCTAATTGTACGCACCACTCCCTTAAGTCTTGATGGGTCAGCATGTACATCGAACCGAATAATGAGTTTAGAGTTTGTAAATCACTAAAAACTTGCTGAAACCTTCATTGTCTGTCTTAAAACAGACTTCACCCGGTCTGAACATGCGCACATTCTTAACGGGTGATTTCCTTCAAGACAAATGGCCAATGTCCCACATACTCTTAAATGTATCGTATTATCCCTTCCGAAACAGATATTGCTTTCCTGCAAGTCAGCATTATTCGTAGGGTTGCCCGCAAATCCTAAAGCTGGAACCGTATCCATTAATTTAAACGGCTGAAACCTTAGCCGAACTAGGTGTACGTGCACAAACATTTATTCGCTTTAATTAAATATTCGGGATCGATGGACAATGACCCAGCCGCTCAGTTTTAGAGCGACTGTGGAAGTTCAGTTATTGCTATGTTGAACAGCTAAACAATCCGTTAATGAACAAAATTACTCAAAACCTTTGAATTATTCCGATGCCTTAAACAGTGGGGGTAGCTGGGCTTCTTTCGTTGTAAAATACAGGCAGTGAACCTTCTTTACCATATTTCTGAAACATTTGGTAGAAAAAGAGTGGTCGTTTAGGCAGCCAGAGTATTTTGGCCACCCTTCGACTGTTTTAACCTTTCGCCTGGGTGGCAATTAACTCTAGCGAATATTTTCCACTTCCCCCACACCTCCGGTTGTTAACATGGGTGCATTAGTGCAGGGGACTTTAGTGACTACCTGACAGAAAACCTAGAATGTGAATAACGACCTTCCACAAAGTGCTATGGTTTTATTAAATCAGTTAGCAACTATCGTTTAGGATATGGGTGTACGGACTCTACAACTCTGTATATAATATATATATGAAATAAGCAACTCAGGAATTCAGAGGGATGGGACGAGTTTCCCAGTAGGAACTACATCTTATATATGATCTGTAAGGCTTTTTTAATCTATCCAATGTCGAATGCCTTTTCCGTTGGTTTGAATGGGTTTGCCCGGTTTCACTTGCTCCCCACTGGGATTTCGAGACTTAAGGTTAATAAACACCACCTGTCTTCTGTTTTATTTCGACTTGTTGGTCGGTATTTCCAATAATCACTCTCTTAGAAAGGCGGCGGCTGAATTCCCGAATCTTAATTCAAAATGGTTTTTGATATTTTCTTAAACGTTTTAGAGGCTGACGGTGTATATGTTCATAAGTTGTGTGGAGCATACTAACGCAAGATCTTATACCAAAAACATATATAGCATTCTTTTCTCGAGGACCGAAGGCAAAGCAAAACAAGTGAATTGGTTGTCCGGATACCTTCAGCTAAACAAATCGACTTAAACACTAAGGGTCAGCATCCAATGTTCAGTGATGATTGCTGTGGTCAATAATTTTGGGGAATTATTTACCGCCACAACGTCATTTAATATCCTTTCCGAAGTCTACCTAATATCGCAATTTTAATAGTTCTTGAGAAAACACGACAAAAGATACCGAAATGCCTCTAGTCCTCACAGATTTTCAACTGGTGCTCTGACTGATTTCAGATTCTGATAGGTTCTGTAACGAATCAAATCCCTGCATACCAAAACTTGAAAGCTCGGATTAATTGAACGCGGTAAATTGACCTAATTCGCCGATCTTATACGTGCCGATTCCTCAATAAAGCTAGGACAGTGAGCGAAATTATTTACAACAGCTGTGTGACTGTCGAAATTTAAGTATTCCAGTCTAAACACAAAAAAAGAAGACAGTATGATCAATACGATTTAGTGCAGTCCTTCTTTTTATTCACAAAACTTCTGTGAGTTATGTGCGGACCAAAATAATATTCTAATAATGTCAGAACAATATATAATGCCAAAAAATATTTGTCGCCGCCAAATAATAAGTTGTATCAAAAATACAAAAGCGCATCAAGAATGCTGTTCGGCAGCCATGCAGTTCATATTCTTATTGGGTACAAAATATGTTCTAAAAATCAGAAAAGAATCCCGACGGAATACGACATAATATTAAGAGCAAGAAGCCGGGAGAATGAACGACACTCTCCAGGATTGAAAAGCAACTCATAGGCATAAACTTGAAGTCCCGAGACAAAGAACACAATGGCAAAGCAAAAATGCCATTGTCAGGAATAAGGCATCATACAATGGTTAAATGTAACACTACGAGTAGGAACCAACCGACAAAAGTTAAGAAAGGCATTGGAAGTTAGGTCAAACAGAAATACTTAAATGCATAATAATTATTTGTCAACCTATTCTTCCGTCAAAATATTTTCACAGATAGTCGAATGATAGCTAATACCATTGAAAAAAGCAGATACGCTTACATAACGCCTTTTTAGAAAGCAAGGGTTAAAAATTGAAGCAAGGTGTCAGCCACGTCTCGTAAACCGTTAATTCCCGGCTCTTGCTACGCTCGAGCTCACGCTGTTCCTTGCAGTTTTTCAGAAACGCTTAGTAATAACGGACGGAGAAACCAAAACACCGATTGGCCACTCGAGAATTCTTTATTGTTACACCAACATATAAATGACGTATGACTAAGGTCTGTGAACAAATATTACAATAATAAATCACAATATTACTTCTGACGGTGTTTTACTCTTCTTTCTGAACAGCGACCGATGAGACGATGACTGTCGTATTGATGCCTCCGCGAAAATTGTGGAAGTTGATTTTGAGCAAACAACCATGAATTGATCGTTCAATCTTCAACTATATTGACACAAGGAAACCTAGCCAAAAATATGACAGGGTAATCACCATTAAATATATTTCAACAGAAAAAAGTAGTCGCATTCATTATGAGCGGCATACGAAATCTACGGCTAAGGATATAGTCTATCGCGATGTTTTTGTGTCCATAGTACAGGTTATCATGTTCATGCGTATAGAGGTGTTAAAAGCGTTTATTTTTGTGAGTATATTTACACACTTTCAGGATTCCGCAGTCAAAAAAGAGATATTTGATGAACTACATTCGTATTGATGCGTGAAAGTGTAATGATATCTCTCATTGTCCAGGAGGTACTACACTGTACCTTAAGAAAACCCGCAAGACTTTCAGAAACTATGCTCAATAACAAACGCGAAAAACCAGAACACAAATTGGTGACTCAAGAACCCTTTATTCTCGCACAAATACGGAGCCAGCCATTCGGTTATTGTGCACAAATTCTAAGAATAAATATCATAACCCTTATTAACAATAATAATTTTGGTAGATTTTTTCTATTCCAACGAAAAGAAAACGATCAAATAATGACTGGTGTATCAATCACCCCCGCCAAAAGATAGAGATGGGTTTGAGCAAACAATCATGAACTGATCGTTCAATCTTCAACTACACTGACACTCCCCGGTAAAATACGGATCCAACCCTCTTTTCCTTCACGACCAATACACGTTGACTTGGATGCCATTGCGAGAACCTGGGTCACACGGACAGAGCTGAAATGGAAAACAAACAGAAAGGCCAACACACCACAAGCATACCCACAGCACAATCTCACACATCGCTGAAGACCTGCGCCTCCAGACAGAGATCTCCTCTTGACATCTTGCAACAAAATCGCCACTTGCTAGAATGACTCTTGCAGAATGCAACGTGACCATAGCACCAACTCATGATACTCCACGCACGTCCTCGCATCTTCTCACTGCCAATTACCACTGAAATCGTTTGTCACTCATTCTGCCTCAGTTCTAGTAACGATGACGTATGCGAGCCTCAGTCGTTTACACTCTCGCTCCCCGGCGTGTGAGACCGCAACTAACAATTATCTCCGTATGCATTTCATCCTCGGCAATAGCCTCCCGGCGTATACGACCCATCTGCTGTCCTTAACATCAATCAATTCATTCACGGATGTAGAAGACAAGAAACAACTTCAGAAGTAATCACGACGAAAATTTTAACAAAATTACGCAATAAAAACAAGTTACGAAAACAAAAAGTAAACACGATTAATCTAAACAACATCAATTGATATGACACACCACACGTATACACAAACAGTACAAATAACCTCGCCGATCGTGTCTCGATGGAATTTATTCGAAGAATCGCAGGACTTCCACCAGTACGCCTACAACCCTTCTCAGGTTGACTATTGTAGGTTGAAGAATATCAGAACAAGGTTTGATGATATCCTGAAACTAGTAAAAGATAGTATCAATCAATCTATGAGCAAGTTTGCCAGTATATTGAATCTCACCCCTAGAATAGAGTAGTCTGAGAGCAAAATGCAATCATTGATGACGAGTAGGCTTCAGAGAGGTGGATATCGAGAAGGCTCCACGATGTCTAGTAATGCATATAGACCTAGTGAGTGTAGCAGGTTTCGTAGTACATCCTCAACAGACAAGTTACAAGATGCAAGACAAACACGGT